CACACACACAAAAAGGGGGCAAAAAAACCCGTTAAAAAAAAAAAAAAAAAAAAAAATTTCTCATTGCGCCTATTAATTAGAGTTCCTATTGTTTTCACCGAAGTAGCTTTGTGTTTATTCTTTACTCTAGATGGTAAAAGCAAGATTTAAAAGTTTGAAATGGGAGTGTTGGTTGATGTAAAAGAAAAAAGAATGTTAGGTGTATCTTTATAATTATCAATCATTGTGTCCCTTTGTCTAATTATCAATTTAAAAAAAAAAAAAAAAAAAAAAACACTACATTTTCTCTTTAAAAATTTGCCAATCAATTGATTCAGTCCGATTTTGATTCAATTCAACCTATTCCAAGAAACGTACATGTATATTGAGATTTATGATGCTCTACCAAAACGAAAATTAGCCTCTATTTGGTTTAGCAAAAATTCAGAATTTTAGTAAATTTTGATAAAAGTTGATAACATATATAATTAAAAAATTAATAAAAATTGTGGATCTCTTAAATTTGTGGTTAAAAATGAATTTTAAAAAATGAGTGTTAGAAAACCATGATTCAAACATAGATTTAATAAGCTGCATGCATTTAGCCCCCGTTTGAGCCCCATTATTTCTCAGTACATTAAGCCCCGTTTGGTAGAGATTTTTTGCTCCAAAAAATTGATTTTTTGACCGTTATTTTACTATTCAAGCCGTAATTTTTGACTTTTTCTCTCACGTGTGGACCCCACTTTTCTTCTAACGGTCAAAAAATCAATTCTCAAAATCCCTACCAAACGGGCCCTAAATTAAAATTTTCTCTCTCCTACTTTTAACCACGCAATCTTCAATAAAATAATATTATACATAAATCAAAAACTTTTCAACCACTCATTTTTCAAAAAAATACTATTCATCTCATTATAATCTACAAATAATGGGGCTCAAACGGGGGCTTAGTATTACATTTTTTTATACATCAAAAACATTTATTCGTATATTATTATTATAAAATAATTGACAAATGCATAAATTGTATCTTAACTATTTGTGATTTTATTTTATTTTATTTTGGTTATATTAGTTAAGGATAAAATTATGTCGTAGTAATATGTAAATTAGATTATTTTGTTAAATATTTAAAAGTGACCGGAACAATCAAATAATTAAAAGCGTCATATCTAAGTAAAATTACAAGCAAAATAGTAAATTGCTTTTCTCAAACCTTTTTTTTCTTAACTTTAAAGCGTTATTTTCTACAATTGTACTTTCACCTTGACAAACAGGATGAGTTTTGAAATAAAAGAGTAAATACTTTATTAACAATTTGAAATTTAAATTCAAAATCAGTATACATAAATAGTTAAATGCATGAGATCTGGGCCGTTGTATAGCTGTTACTTTTTCTTTAGTCAATTTAAGTTTTTAGTTTTTACCCTTAAATGAAGTAACAAATTTTAAAGAAACCTCTATCTTCTATTTCCAGTAAGGTAAACGTGCGTTGCACGTTACTTAATTAATGTTAAAAATAAGTGTATGTCAATTTCGGATAAATTAATTTGTACACGTGAAATATATTTTTAAGTTGATTTAAATTCATTTACTTTTCATCTCTTTTCATTTTATATTTTTGATTCTTGATATAAACATTTGATATTCACTGTATTTAACGTCTCGTTACAACTATTTATTTATTGAAATTAGTTATTATTGTGTAAGTTTATTATATTTTGTATCCAATATTATTAAATTTACAGCTATAAACATCGTAGTAATGTAGTTCGTTTTCACAAAAAAACTGAAATAGGGTTATGTATGAGGTATGCATAAAATTTTTCCATTTTATAAAAAGAAAAAAAAATACTTACATCATTAAATTGTTACTCAATTAATAACATCACAAAGAAACTTTTGAACTACTATGAGTGGGATTTCAGTAGCTTCAAGTACAAATATAATAAGATTTTTTTTTTTTTTAAAAAGAATGGGTAAAAATTGAAACATGAATCCAATATGGAACAATTGGCAAACAGTCAACAATTGCAAAATATTGTCTACACATGATATTTCTACACCAAAACAAATGAGTTTCACTTGAACATGTAAATTAAAGAGCCGGCCTTCGAGCTGCACCTCCTTTGTCAAGAAATCAATTTCAATGGTAGCCTTCTATCGGTTACCAATTAATGGTTCTAGGTGAAAAGATACTGCACGAGTTTGCCACCTATCAGCATCATACATCTCATTCCATGCCTGTACTATCTAATCAACTCTGAATCCTAAAGTTGCAACGCGTAAAACATGGTGAAAAATTATAGATCCCAACATATTCATAGGAAAATTATGAAGTACATACTAAAATGTAAAAAGAAAAACAAAATATGTTATTCATAACTACCTTCTAAAGTAGCTGCCCTTGAACAACGATTATTGACTATAACTCAAATAATCAATATCTATAGCTGAAGTTCTAGCAAGTCCAATTTTTTCAACTGCAACTTCCACGTATCCTTACCAAGTTGGTAAAAACCAATTTAAATTCCACAAGAGAACCAACCTTTGATGATAAATTGCCTCTTGATCCTGAGCTAAAGGACGAAATACAGAATTGGGAAGAAGAAACTGAGTTAACCAAGGACGATGACGCCATTGAGGGTGTTCGTATTGATAAAATCATGGCAGAAAATAACGAAAAAATGCAAGATAATATTTGTTTTGAAATGGGAAAAATAAGTGAGCAGCAGTTTGTTAAAGTATGGCAGAAAATAACCAAGAAATGCAAGATAATATTTTTGATTCTGTCTTGCGAGCCAACTATTTATTGGTAAAATAAGTTGAACTATTTACCTCAACAATGAGCACACTATAGGAATTGGTTCAAATATTAAATGAAAAGGCGTGTAAAAATTGAAAAATGAAAAGGTGTGTAAAAATGGAAAATGAAAAAGTGTGACTACGTGTCAACTTCAACCAAATATTTGGACTTGATCTGATGGTCAAATTACAAAAGTAATAGACCAACTTATTCTACTCGTCGAGTAGATCGTCGTGGTATATTTGAAACTTCGAAACCAATTCCGGATGAATGAGAAATTGCAGACCAAAGTTGAAAGAAATAAAGTGTTGCAACTTTTCGAAAGGTGCAAGTTTTGGCCAAGTGTTGCAACTTTTTTGAAATGATGCATGTTTTGGCACACACTACTTCATTTGTACCCTTTCTACATCTATAAATAGAATCCTATGGACATGGTTTTGGACACACCAATTGCATTGAGCATTCATTCTCTTCTTTCTAATTTTATAGCATTTCATACATTTCATTTGTAGAGGGAAAATTCTGTCAAAAGTTCGTCGATTTCTTGTGGTTTGAAGTGCTGCTACCACAAGTTGTGAATCTATTGTATCTTGGGAGACAAGTTCCATTCTCCGTGAGCATCGTAGCGAGACAATTTGTTTTAAGGAAAGAGATAACGTCTCGCCTTGGATTATTCTTCATTTCTACTCCTTCTTAATCCTTGTTTTGCGTAATCTTTATACCGAAACTCTGTCCAAATTTTCATTCATATAAATTGTGTTTTGATCACGTTCTTACGGGTTAAAATTGGTCAAATAAATATATCAAAAATCAACCCTTACATAACCCTTTTTATAAGTCGTCTCCAACACACACTTGGCATAATTAGCCTATCAGAGAACCAACATTTGATGATAAATTGCCTCTTGAACTTGAGCTGAAGGATGAAACACATAATTGTTAAGAAGAAATTGAGTTGACCAAGGATGATGATGCATTGAAGGTGTTCGTAATGATAAAATCAAGACAAAAAGTAACCAAGAAATGCAAGATAATATTTGTTTTAAAATGTGAAAAATAAGCGACAGGTTATTCAATTACGATAGAAAATAATCAAGAAAAGGAAGATAATATTTTTGGTTCTGCCTTGCAAGCCAACCATTTACAGATAAAACAAGTTGAACTATTTACCTCAACCATGAGCACACCTTGCATAATTGGCCTCAAAGGAAAATGCCCGAGGAAGAAATTATCATTTATCGTCACATTTGTGATAGCCAAAGTTGGCGCCAAAGTCGGCACCAAAGGATTCTACTCAACCATTCTATCTACTAGCAGAAAATGAAAATCTACAACTCAAAGCAAAAACAAAAGAACATAGAAAACCAAATTGTATTAACAATGTAGCCAAAAGGAAAAAATGATACT